GACTCTTGGACATCTCTATGAAGCACTTTGAAGGGTCCTCGCCAAGTGAAAAACTATATGAATGTAAAAATCTTGTTCACTGCCCACCCCACAGATTGTATTTGGCTATTGGGAAAAGACAGAGGGTCAGAAGCTCAAAGTATTTGCATTTGGTTATTACAACCACTTAACTCAAAATTCAACCCAAATTTACAATTTATGAAATGAATATGATCGGTGGTTTGAACTTATAGTTATAATGAAGAAAGCTCTGCGAATCGACAGGAATAGGAACTGGTGAAAACTTAAGTTTCATAAAAATATATTACCTCCCTCTATTTCCCCCCTCTCTCTTCAATATATAATAATAATCCTTGCATTTGATATAGCGCTTTTTACATGTTCTCAACGTCGCAAAGCGCTTCACAGAATAGACTGTAAAGTGAATTGACTGTATATTTGTGGGCGAAACGCGGCAGCCAATTGCGCACAGCAATGTCCCACAAACAGTGGTGGATTGAAAGTGACCAATTTATTATTGCTTTTGTCTTTGGAGGGATTATTATATACACACACACATATATATATATATATATAGATAGATAGTCTTCTCAGAACAGCGAATGATTGTGATTTAAGTTAGCTGTCCGGACTGAATAGTGAACGGATGACCCACAGCAGCAACAGACAGAGGTCGCTTGCGGGTGGAATTGCGGTACAAACTGTGCAGCACTGCAGTGAGCAATGTCGGACGGGGAGTGAAACACTTTATTGGAGGTTTCGAAGAGAGAGGGAAACGTCGACAGTGCAAAACAATGTTTTCAAATCCACCTCCTCGGGACACGATGTCATTCCCAACTATTGAGTGAGCAGCAACACTGAAACACCGCTCTGGGGACACATTGAAGGAGTGCGCTGTGATCCCACAGGGCTGCGAACCCCGATCCTGATCAAACCGATGGGACTTTAAGCTCGTTACCTCGCACCGGTCTCACCTGGGGCCACGGGCTTTCTCTCTTAAAGATATTGTATTGCACATTTGTGTCACGCCAACTTAGCATGATTTTAATGCACCACTGGCGATATATGTAAACATAAAAATGAAAACACTATCTGCGCGGTTTCCGTCCCGTAAGCGATTTCACTTACAAGTGATCTGCAGAAAGTGATCGTGTTACCATTGAGATATATATCGAATATATTTATTTAAAATGCTGCAACAATCCTGTCCGCACCGTAACTGCACAGCCCGATTGAGTACGTGTTCACATAACACTAACTAAACCTCCTTCCCGGATTGATTTAGGATACCCGCTCGGTGCTGCCGTGCAATGCATTCACAGGAGCCCAAACACTGCCGTGTCTTTAGCTCCCGATGCACAGTGATGATCAGTTACAGCAGCTGTCGGCGGGAGCTGCGATATCGGTAGAAATTGACGGGAAAAGGAAGGAAGGTTAACGATCACCTAATAATGCCGCCACGGTTTCACTTGGCTGGGACTGAGCAACGGGAAGAGAGCGAGTGCCAGGGTCCAACAGCACTACCACACCTTGTCAGAGTGCCGTGCCTTGCCTTGCCTTGCCGTGCCTGGCTGGCTGCCTGCCTGGCTGCCTGGCAGCTGCTGTCCTGAGCTGTGGAGGCGGGTTTGCACTGTGTCCGCTGGGAAGCGGCGCAGGTTGAGTGCGGCAGCGCAGACAGGTAGTGGTGACAGTCTCCATGGGAACACGGGCTGCGGTGAGAGAGAGAGGCAGAGAGGCAGATGCCGGGCGGCCGGGCGGGCGGGCAGTGAGGCGGGAGCGCGCCCCGCTCGTCCCCGGAAACCCGAGTCCGGGGGGCGGGCACACCGCCAGCTCGGGCAGGCGCTCAGGCTGTGAGCTGCAACAACAACCAGCATTGCTACAGCGCCTCTCCCGCGGGGCAGCGTCCCACAGCGCTTACCAGCAGCAACAGGATGATCAGAAACACCCGAGCAAAAGCACCCAGAAGCCCTGACCTCAGCTGAAGCCAAAGGAGGGCTGGTGTGAGCGCATGTGATGTGCCCAGGGCCCGGGCTGGCGTAGGAAGGAAGGAAGGGAGGGAGGGAGGGAGAGAGGGAGGGGATGCATGTGGGGGTAAATGCTGCATGCCTGCTATTTTCAGGCTTCATCGTCGGTTTCATAATTAAACAAAAACATTCAAGACGCCCAGAATCTTGCATTAGTGCTTACGTTTCGCATTTTAACTTTCTAAAACGGCAAGTCACATAAACACTGAATGCAAAAACAGTTGGACATTATTAAAAGTCCCGTGGCTGCTGCTGCTGCTGCTGCTGGCAATCCTGCTGCTGGATGGCACCAAATGAGCCCACGCACAAGTAAAGGGAAGTGCACAGCACATCTACAGTCACTGCATTACAATCGTAAAAATATAAACGGGAGTCGTCTTCTGGTTATTAATTGCATCGAATAAAGCACCCCCCGGAGTTTCTCTGGTTTGTTTCAAACACTGATCCGCCCTCCAGAAGGACGACCTCTCTGTAGGCTTTTCGTGTGAAAAGAAAAAAAAACTGCACATCACATGCGTTCACACCAGCCATCCTTTTAAACTTCAGCTGAGGTCAAGGCCTTCGGGCTTTCTGTTATTTGCGACCCAACCAAGTGATTCCTTTTCTCGCCAACAGGGAAGTTGGATAAGATAGGTCGGAAGGGCCAAAAAAGATGTACTCTGTCACATGGAACTGCTACTGTGTTGCAGGTTTTCCCTGCGAGCCAATTTCATAACCCCCCCCCCAAATAAATCACCAAAACACGACATCTTTGCGGATGTTTTCTGATCACCATCTTAATGAGTGGACCGCAATGATAGTGCTGGGTTTTTGTTGGGGTGGGGGGGTGGGAGAGAGAGAGAGAGAGATCATGATCCCAGAGCCAGGCAATGCCATCCGCTGTTCCCATCCATATGGAAAGTCCCGCATTAACTTGATATATTCGATGGGGGGGGTGGGGGAGAGATAAGAGCCCCTAAATTAGCTTTAAAATAAATAAAACCCAGGCAGGTGGGCAGTCAGAGTCAGTCGTTTTCGGAGTGACACGTCTAGAAGACGTGAAAAGCGCCATATCAAACGCAAGGACTGTTATTATTATTATTATTGTTATTATTATGATGATTATTGCCGGGCAGTGTTCGCCTGCTGCTGGTACCCTCGTCCCAATAACGAAGAAAGAAATGCCAGGGCGAGAGGCTCTGTTGCCTGGTGACCAAAGTGCATCCCCCCCCCCCCCCAGACCGCAGGAGGACCTGAACGCAACGATATCGATTAATTGGCAACCCACCCAACTCCCCATGGTGTTGCTCAGCGAGCAGCAAAACCCCGCTGAAGCCTTAAAGACTGTCAGCACTTTTAATGGAGATGAAATTAATGAATGTGGGTTGTGTTAGTTTTATATAAAAAAAATTTTTTTGGGGGGTGGGGGAAAAAACAGGGGTGGGGGGGGGATGTGTGTGTATCTATATATATATATATGAAATGGATACTGAATGCTGTCGGACAGGCCTCCCATTTTATTGCAAATTGCCCGTCCCTTTGGGTGCCACTCGGAATCACAGTGCCTTCAGCAGGATCGGGTGCTGTATTTAATTAGCCCGAGAAACACAGGCGTCGCTGCTCGAGCTCTCTTCCTGGTTTACCAGTGATCATGATGCCTAATCACCAGGCAGCAGCCGCGCACTCACTAACAGGGGCAGATCCCTCGGGCAGACGGGGTGGGTGGGTGGGTGGGGGGGGAGACTGTCCAAAAGAAAACTCCCCAAAGCCCCAGAGTAATCCAGGTTGTCACGAACCCACAGAACAGGACCAGATTAAACCACACCGGACGTCTCATCTCATCTCCCTTTCTGTTTGGAGGGAGAGGGTTGTGTGTGTGTGTGTGTATATGGGGGGGGGGGGGGTGGTGGTGGTGGTGGGGGGGGGGAAGCTAGAAAGGGAATAAATTACATTTAGCACGTTACTAAAAATGTTTATCAACAACGATCATCATTTACCAGTCCATGGGTATGGGTTTCAACAGCTGCTGTATTCGTGTACGTGTTTTTTTTTTGGAGGGGGAAAGAGAGTGCACGTTTCAGCCAAATCTACTGAAAACAATATTACTGTTAGAATCGGATCCACACCTATAAAGAGAGCTACCGGACACTTTTTTTAAAAAATTCAACCCTACTGGAGGACCATATTTTGCTCCATTTTGTTAACAGGAACACAACCGGATTTGCACAGGAAAAGGGAACGTGTTCGGAAAATAGGTAGGGGTGGGATAGAGAGAGAGAGAGAGGGGGAGGGAGGGAGGGAGGAGGGGGAACACACACACATCAGCACCGCATTTGGCTTCCAACCAACATTTCTGTCCCGACACCATGTAATGATATCCGAGATACATCAAGCACTCCCTCCCTCCCTCCCTCCCTCCCCTCTCTCACTCCCTCTCTCTCTCTCTCTCCCTCTTTCTCTCTCCCCCCTCCCTCTCCCCTCCGGATTAAACGGTCCCATATCAAACAGTTCAAAGCATAATATTCCGCAGAAGCTCTTCTGAGTGTCTGATCTGCGAAACGGGACATTTAAAGCCCTCTCCAAACGTTACGTTCCCCCCCCCCCCCCCCCACACCCCCCACCCCCCTCCACACACCTCCCCCTCCACACACCTCCCCCTCCACACCCCCCCTCCCACCTCCTCCCCAACGAAATAATACTAATAAAAAAAAGATCGGGGTGAGCTGACAAGAGCAGAGCAGAGCAGAGCAGACAGGACGTGTCGGGCCACAGGCAACATGGTGACCGCTACCGCCTGGTGCACGGCATTTTTTTTAAAAAAAAAGGCACGATCACCAGCCGGCCGGGCAGGGCAGGGCAGGCAGGCAGGCAGGCAGGGCAGGGCAGCTGTGGCACCCTTTTCCCTCTCTCTCTCTCTCTCTCCCTCTCTCTCCCCCCTGCAACAAGAGACCTGGAGAACCGAACAGCCATCAACTTTCCAGGCAGCCGAGCACTCACCGGGGTTTTGACGGGCACGTAGAGGACCTGTTTGCCGGCTCCGGGCTTGGGCTCCCCCTGCGATCCCAGCTGGAAGCCCTTCGACTTCACCCAGAATTTGAATTTGGCGTTATCCGCAGAGCTGGGCTCGGTGCCGCTCAGGAACTGCACGATGCGGTCGTATTTCTTGCGAGTCACGGTCTTGGTCTTGCCCGAGTCCCCGTAGGTTTTCAGGCACCACTCCTGGAACTGGCGGTACAGGTCCCGGTCGCCGGGGTCCCGAGCGGCCGCTTTGTTCTCCATGACCGGCCCCCGGCAGCCTGGGGACTCGAGTGGGCTCCACACCGTGTGGACTTTACACCTGGGCAACCTCTCTATGGAGCAGTGGATCCCACCCGGTGGGCGGGTGGTGGTGGGTGAGGGGGGGGGGTGGGGGGTGGTTGCAAAAAAAAATAAAGGCGGTTTTGTTGACTGGCCGATCCCGAGAGCGAATTTTTTTTTATCAAAAAAAAAGCCCTATCTATGCTTCTGTATATTTATGCACAGACACAAACCCCCCCCTCCTCCTCCTCCCCCCCTTCCAAAAAAAACATTAAAAAAAAACGCGAGCAATTCAGACACACAAACTGTCCTCACTGGAGAGCGGCCGGAGGGAGGCTGAGGCTGCTGGAAAGGCGGATTATTATTATTATTATTATTATCATCAATAATAATTTTTTTTCCACGTAACGGGCTATATATTATTTTTGCACCCACCCCACCCCCCCCGAAAAAAAAAAACGAATCGTCCGGTTGTCGGGTTCGCTGTCTGTCGGGATTGCTTTGGCTTTGGCACCGCCACAGGCACAGGCACCGCCACAGCCGCCGCCCAGAGTGTGGGGTGCAGTGTGCAGTGTGTGCCGTGCACCGTGCTGCCTGCCCTGCCTTGCCCTGCCCTGCCTGCCTCCTTGCCTGCGGGATAGGACTGTGTGGATTGCCCCCCGTGCAAACTGGAGCCGAGCGGATTACACGCCGCCCTCACTATCTCCCCCCACCCCCTCGCCCTCTCTCTCTCACACACTCACTCTCTCACACTCACTCACTCTCTCTCCCACCTCCTCTGTGCTGTGCTGTGCTCTCCCGGCCGGGGCTGAGCCGGGCTGGGCTGGGCTGGGGGAGGGAGGGAGGGAGGGAGGGAGCAGCCACACACGGAGCCTCTCTGGCCGGGTCTCCCCGCTCCACGGGCTCTTCCCTTCCCTTTCTGTTTTCCAGTCGCCCGATTGGACGGCGGCACAAAAGTTTCTCTGGCGACCGCCAATCAATGATGTCACGTACAGCTGTCCCATTTAGGAATAGGGCACAGCGCGCATGTCTCCCTCCCCGCACAGCACCCGCACCGCACCGGCACCCGCACCGCAAAGCGATAGCGGCGGCGGCGGCGCACATGCAACAGCTGGGACAGGTGAAGAGCACCGCTCTCCCCTCGGCTTCACTGCTTCCTCGGCTCTTCCTCCTATCCCCGACCCCTACCCCGCCATGAGAAACGGCTTTGTCAGGAGGCCGCTCGCTCTGCTTACTCCAGAGAGGGAGGGAGGGAGGGAGGGAGGGAGACAGCAAACACACTGAGGATGAGCTTCACTCTCACACTGAGAAAGAGCTTCACTCTCACACTCAGAATGAGCTTCGCTCTCACACTGAGAAAGAGCTTCACTCTCACACTGAGGATGAGCTTCACTCTCACACTGAGAAAGAGCTTCACTCACACTCAGAATGAGCTTCACTCTCACACTCAGAATGAGCTTCACTCTCACACTCAGAAAGAGCTTCACTCTCACACTCAGAATGAGCTTCACTCTCACACTCAGAATGAGCTTCACTCACACTCAGAATGAGCTTCGCTCTCACACTGAGAAAGAGCTTCCTCTCACACTCAGAATGAGCTTCACTCTCACACTCAGAATGAGCTTCACTCACACTCAGAATGAGCTTCACTCTCACACTCAGAATGAGCTTCACTCTCACACTCAGAATGAGCTTCACTCTCACACTCAGAATGAGCTTCACTCACACTCAGAATGAGCTTCACTCTCATACTCAGAATGAGCTTCACTCTCACACTCAGAATGAGCTTCACTCTCACACTCAGAATGAGCTTCACTCACACTCAGAATGAGCTTCACTCTCACACTCAGAATGAGCTTCACTCTCACACTGAGGATGAGCTTCACTCTCACACTGAGGATGAGCTTCACTCTCACACTGAGGATAAGCTTCACTCTCACACTCAGAATGAGCTTCACTCTCACACTTAGAATGAGATTCTCCCCTCCCTCCCTCCCCACACCCACCCCCCTTACTCCCACCTCTCAATCACAACAAGAATGAGTTCCTCCCCACCACCCCACCACCCACCTTCCTCAATCCCATCGAGATTGAGATACTCCTCTTCACTCCTTCGCTCACATACTGAGAATGAGATTCTTGCCTCCTTCACTTCACTCACACTGGGAATGATTCCTCTCTTTGTACCGAGAATGAGATTCCCCCTTCCCTCAGAAAAACTACCCATTTGTTTACGATAAACATTATTGCAATAAGGGTTAAATTTTACAACAACATTGATTGCCTACGTGCATGCACTGTGAGAGGGAATACCTAGATATTGCAGGTGTTTTCTGTTTACCTTGGGGGAGAGGGAAATCTGAAATGGCTTACAGATAAATCTGTTTAGGATTTGAGGTACTACTGTAACCTATTTAAGACATATTCACTGTGTCATCTCAGTATCATCTCAGTGTCTTGCAAGGGAGACATAAGGGTGGCTGACACTCCAATATACGTATTGATAAGTGTATGTAGTTTTATTTTGCTTCAACCACTTACCCACTTTTCCCATAGTTAGAATATCTCACCACAGAAATCGTTCTTGCAGACAGTGATTCATTCTGGGGTTTAGTCCTTCAGCTGTCAGTAACTTTCCTACCAACTCCTTACCAACCTGCCCGCTCTCTCCGTTCAGCAGGCTCCGGCCTGCTTCACGCCCCGCCTCGCCCACTCCACCATTGCCGAGCTGGCATTCAGCCACTCTGACCCACCCTCTGGAATTCCGTCTTGCAGTTCCTCCACCACATCCCCTCCCTTGCTGCCTTCAAGACCGGTCTCAAGACCCTCCTCCTCGACCGTGCATTTAATCACTCTCCTTCGCCCACCTGACCTCCGCCCTCCCCGATCCTGACCCACAGTTTGGGTCCGAAATACTGATTGTCCAGCGCCTTGGGATGTCCTCCCAACGTGAAAGGTGCTATACAAATGTCATTTTGTTGTTGTTGTTTCTGGGCCTTCACCCAAGTGGCCATTCTTCATATGTGAGTCAAGAAAGAGAGCCTTAGTGCATCATGTAACCATGGAGGGATTCATAGCAAGCCTAATCCTGTACTTACTTACAGCCTGTACACATGCATTTAAAAGAGGAATTTAACTCATCATCCACTGTCCTGTACCCTGTTTTCTCCTTTGTCTTCCTTGCCCTGCCTCCCCCCTCTCTGTTAGCCCTTAAAAGCCTCTCCCTCCCAACATGACCCAGTTCTGACAAAGAGTCGTGGACCCGAAATGGTGACTCACTTTCCTTTCTCCATAGATGCTGCCTGACCTGCTGAGTGTTCCAAACGACTTCTATTTTTGTTTTTTGTTGTTAGTGTTAATCATAAGGTAGACTTTCGCATGAGTTACCCTTGTGACAAGCATAATGTACAGTAAGATCTTTATTGCATTTAATTATTCAAATGTATTTTATTGTTTTGTGATCTTATTAGATAGTCCCACGGATGTTCATACAATATTTTGTAGTGAGAGGAAATCATCCAGTTTTGGAAAACAAACCACCTATGCAGCTTTCTTCAAGGACCAAGCCATCGTAACTGCACCTCTATTTTTCAAACTGAAGCAGTACAATACAAATGTATATTTATAAAGCACCTTTCACATCAGGAGGACGCTCAAAGCTCTTAACATTGGCTTAACACCAGAGCTGGTGGTGGGAGCTGAGGGGTGGCGGTGGGAGTGGAAAAATGACCAAAGGCATGGTCAAAGAGGTTGATCTTGAGATGGACTTTGAACAAAGTGAGGGAGGGAATATTTTGAGTAAGTTAGGCATATTTAATTTCAGGATGACGAAATAAAACACATTTTGATCTTGTTGACGTAATACTAATTGTACAATATATGATCTCTGCTTTTCAATAAAAAGTATCAATCCAGTTATTTACAGAATAATACATACCTATGCATTACAAGCATATATTTAATCGTGGAGTTCACATCATGTCATAAGTAATAGTAACAAAGCTAGAGGAATTTTCAAATGTCTGATGGTCCATGTGATTTATTTGAGGCCTTTAAGTTATTTTAGTGAGGAATGTTCTTCAAAACCTTAGATAACTGTAGATAACTGCCTGACAACCTGTAACTGAATTACAAGGCAAGAAAGCTATTCTCAAAGTTCAGCTGACATTACAAACTATGACAGCAAAAAGCTTATTAGCTGAATCTTGAGACTATAATTATCTTTAAGTTACTCTCACATATCAATCTTAATTTACAATATATATCTGAAAATTAATCTTGGAATATATAAGTAGTGTCACATAATTTAGAACATTGCTAATTTAGTTATGTAGGGCCTGAAGGTCAGGACATATGAATAACCAAATTTTATTTTCACAGTAGCTTATGGGAATCTCCACTTTTTTGCTTTTTACCTAATATTTGATGTTCACGAATAAAACGTTGTAAAAATGCTTTCCGTAACGCTTGCCGCAAAACAAAACACAATTTTGTTTCTGTGTCAGAAAACAGAAAGATGACCAAAATATTGGACCTCTTTTTAACAGTATAGATAAATACATAAAGAATACAAGTAGCTAACTACATCTCAGAACTGACCAAAAAGTATCAGTTAAATCAAGTATGTCATGTTAAATCAAGTTACATCTTTTTTGTATTCACACCCCATACGTGAGAAATCGTTATATAATTGCCGTCCATTTAAGTGCTCTGAGATGCATTCGTCCTGAAGGGCGCTATATAAGCTCAAGTTGTTGTTGTTGTAAGAAACACACTGTACACCAACATACCAGTGTATGGTATTGACTGGCCCTGTTCCAGCAAAATGTGTTTTACTGCAACTTCACAATTTTGGCATTTGTTTCCTCGATAATTCTGTTTGTTCTTTGCTGTTCGCTTTTCATGTTATAACATTGCTTATAGATTGTAGAAGAATTTTTTACATACTTGGTCATGTCCTGAAGAAAATGTCAAAGAAAGGTTTCTGGTCTGTATGGATCTCACCTATGTGTGCAGTAAGAGTGCTAATATTGGTCTCATTACCCCAGATTAG